CCCCCCCCCCCCCCCCCCCCCCCTTCGGCGTTTGCCATCGGGATTGGGTTGCAACGACGTTGTAAAACAAGCCAATTCACTACGTAAACTCGGCAACCAGGTTAACGTTTTTTTTTTTTCACCTCTGTTTATTTTTTTGGCGGTAACCATAATGGTGGTCGAGTGGATCATGTTGTGCGGGGTGAAGAATCCTTACTCCGCGCAAGGGGGATGATCGCACCACGTTGTTTTATAATGGTCAAGCACCCTCGAGGCAGTTACACAGTGCTTCCAACTAACTGTCTGGAAGTGAAAGTACCACAAAATAAACCAGAAAATAAATTAAGTCATACGCAGCTGTCATTCGTATGCAAGCAAGTAAGCAAAAGATGCCGAACACCCTTAGCAGAATGCAGCGCACCCTTGATGCGACTCGCCGAATATCTCACGGCGCTTCGCGCTTGGTAATGTGAGAGTCTGGTCTGATGAGAACCCGGCGTGCTCCGTCCCGGCTTTGTAGGGATGCGAGGTCAATGGTCTAACGACTACGGCATGCACGACGATGAGTACACCCTCCCCCCCCGCCCCCCTCCAAGTGAAAGACACAATCCAAGCACCACACGCAGACCTTGAAGTTGAACACCATCCCGCCGACACGTTCCGAGACGTGCGCGTTGTTGTCCGTCACCGTCCCTTCCTCCGTGGTCTCCCTGAACAGCAGGGTGGCCCCTCGTTTCCCCACGCGCTTGCCGTCGCCGGAGTCGAACGCCGCTTGCACGCGTTCACGGGCTTCCTGCCGAGCTGGCGGCAAAGCCTCGTTGATGCCCTCGGTGGCAAGGGGACACCGTTCGACGTCGACCACCTTGCTGGGATTCACGTTCCCGAGGTCCACGCCGTGGTAAATCGTGGGAAATTTCACCCTAAGGGAGAGAGGTGGGGTAGGTTACACCGTGGGGTTCGGGTCGATGTGGTTTTACATGATCGTGGAAGGCTAACGTCATTCGATCCAACAGACCGCCTCATTTTTCCTCCTCTGAAAATCATGAGGCGAGAGGCACGCTAGGCGCGGGCGTCCTAGATACCACCACAGGCCTGTAAAGATCTGCAAACGTTGTGCGCTTCCAGCCAACAGTGATATTCATGTCGAAATGCCACACGTTCGCTTCAAGCTACGCATAATTCGTTTGTGTGTCGGCGTCGTGTGCAGTGCTTAACCAGCCTGTACGCGACACTTTGTGGCGTTGAATAGCGAAGCGAGACCCGACTTTTTGCAATCAAATAACACCCGCCAGCAGACATATGTATGTAGCACGCAGAACCTCTTCTACGTTCATACGAAAACAACGAATACAACAACATCCCGCTCACTTTTTGAAGCCAATCTCTCGGACTCGGCCCTGATACGGGGCGTCATAGTGAGGCGTGAGCTTGGATCGGTACCCGTATGTCTCGTCCGTTCCGAACGTGTCCTTCACTGCCGGATCCACCATTCCCCCGATGCGAGTCAGGCAGTCCATCACCTGCTGCTTCTTCCAGTCCCGCTGCATCGACACCGACATCTAAAAACACATGGCAAAAAACGCAAAAAAGAAATGGATCGCATGGTCGGCAAGTGCTGATAACACACGCGTATAACCTCGTCTACAAAGATGTGGATCGCCCGCAACAGGATCGGAAGCATCTCGTAGCGCGCGGCGTTGTTATCTGACTCTACCAGATCTCTCGCATACTAAAGTACACGTACATAACGCACACAACACTCAGTTAACAAACAAAGCAAACCCCGGCAGAAAAAGCACTAAAATTAGACCAGCACGGTGTCGTTGACTATTCGCACTGCTTGATCAACTGTACGCCGGAATAAAACTTAGTTCAAGATAGACAAAAAACACGGTCGGTGCCTCTGTCTCCTTCGTCACTCGTCTTGTTCCACTACATAGGGAAAGTGACTCCTGCAAGACACACTCGTCGTTATCGTTTCAGTTTGTAGGCAGCGAAGAAAAACAAACAGGGTGCCGCATCCCTAGCCGATCACGACACCAGTACCTGAAACACCCCCCCCGAGAGGTTCACTCCCTGCCTGACACCTCTTCCGCACAGCGCAGACAGCGCCATATCATGGAAAATTGCTGCACATAAAACCTATCCTGACATGGAACTGGTGGTACCTGCAAGTCAACGGGCGACATCCACCAAGCACGGACGCGAAATCGAACCATACAGTACTCTTGGATTTCCTTCCCGACCGACACCCTGCACACGAGCACAAGCACGCAGGCCACGACTCACGTGTTGGTACTGGCAGCCCCCGCACATGCCGAAAAGCGGGCAATTCGGCTCCACCCTATCCGGCGACGGCTCCTCCACAGACACCTGTCAAATCCCGTCAAATCCCGGGTTGAAGCCAGCGCACACTTTGGTTCTTGCATTAGGTGACTACTTTTGACATGCACACATCGTCCACTTTGATGACTAAGCGCGAGGGGGGGGGAGGGTATCGTGCAACTCCCATGCCATAGACGTTGCCTTTGGGCACAGAGCGCAATGTTTGGGGTTTCCTTCGGCCCTCTCCTTCATATGTGACTAGCTCCTCTTGCTCGGTCACGGGGCAACGCCGCGAGTCCATTGACAACCCGAGACACACTTGAGATAAGAGAAGACTACGAGCGCCGAACGGAAGGACCAACAGCGGCAGCTAGAAAATTCTGCGGTGACAATCTCCGCCAAGTACCGTAAGTGACACAAGATAACACACCCCGGTGATAACATTTCTGAGTTTAAAAATATTTATCACCGGTGTGGTATCCTGTGGCGGGTGTGGTATCTTATGTATCCCGGGTAATAAAGTGCAGCTCGCAGGGAGCCCTAAGGGGGTGTGATAAACTGGGGGGGGTGATAGCACGTCGGACCACCCACAGGGTATGTTTGGGGGTGTGATAAAAAGGGGGTGTGATAAAAAGGGGGTGTGATAGCACGTCCCAACACCCACGTGTGATGGTAAATGAAGGGGTTTGTTATACTGCCCCGCACATACCATGGTACGCCACCTACCGTAATGTAATACTGCGATATGTGGTAAACAGACGGGGCTCAACGGAGGGGACGAAACGCTTGAGCACATGAGCTCGATGATGTGTTACCCGCTCAACGCCAAAGAAAGTTTCAAACAATAACGGACTTGAATGGAGCAGAAATTAAGGGAAAAAAAATGTTAGGATCGAGGGCGCCCGCGCCCCGCGGCGCTGCGGCAAGTAAGGTGCCGCCTGGGAGCTAGGTATACGTTATGACCCAGGGACGGCGGGGACAAGAACCAAAAATGATAACGGGTCCATCTACCAAGCAGCATCCGTGTTTCTATCATGATTGCAGGATCAAAAACTAAAAACACAAAAATCAAAGGTACCTCGCCCGATATATTGCCAGGCGGTCGCCACAGAGTGGCCATTCCGTCCTACCCCCTCACAAACAAGTACCTAGTAGGCCGCTGCTACCTACCTTGCTACGTCACCACGACCAAAAAAAAACAAGACCACTAACCACAACCGCAAACAACACTACGTTGCACTCGACGCGTCGAAGAAAACACACGACGAAGGAAGAGAACCGCACGCCAGGAGAAATGCGAGGGAACATGAGAAGGACACCACAAGCCATTTCTCAACACCAGCATCGCCGCCGATGCCTCACGGCTCCTCGCCCTCGTCGTCGCTGATGTCCACCACCACCACGCCCGTGTCGTCGTCATCGTCGATCTCCAACACCTCCAGCAAGTTGCCGCCTCCCGACGACGAGTCAGCCTTGTCCGCACCGGCCGATGGCGCGTCGAGGGGCTCCCCCTGGGCGTTGGAGTTGAGCTCCTTGTTGGCCCAGGCCTCGTCTTCCGACCCGTCGAAGGGAAGCAGCAGGCCAGCCTTCCTCCAGCTCGCGCGGACTTCATCCGCGGTCAAGGCGTCCCACGACTTCTTGACCCACTGTGCGACTAACCCCCGCGAAGGGGCCTCCGGGTAGCCGTGGTCGCCGCGTTTGACGTGAGGGGAAGCCATGTGGTCGTCGTAGAGCCTGGACATGTTTGCCTTGAAGATCTTGTTGACGAGGCCATCGCACGGCTGGAGCTTGGGAGTCAGGCCTCCCGGGATGAGAAACAGCGTCGTGTTGGACTCCGCCATCGCCTTGGTAGACGCGTCCGTCTTGTGGACGGTGTAGTCGTCCCACGCCAGCAGCGTGTCAGGCTGACGGTAGCCGCCCAGGCGACCCTGCCGCCCCGGGCGCTGGTTCCACACCTGAGGCAGCCAGACCTCGTTGAACACCCGCTGGGAGTGCCATGCCTTCGGGTCCACGGCGTAGACGACACCTCGAGGGTATGCGTAGCCCTTCTTGTCCTTGTAGTCCTTGAACTCGCGCTCGATGCTGTTGGCGGCAGGGGCCTTCCCCTTCGGCGTGGGCTGGCCCTTGAAGATGACGAGGGGCGGCAGCTTGCTGCCGTCGGCGAACACCGTCAGGACCGAAGTGATGCGCATCTTCTCCTTGCCGCCGGTTTTGACGCCAACCTCCTTGTCGCCGGTGCGCTGCGGGATTCCATAGAGCAGCGAAAAGCGACGTCAACGTCGGGTATGCAGAAACGATTTTTCATGTCAAGCTTGAAAGTGAGAGCAGCGGTTGTAAAAAAATATAACCAAAATCAGCGGAGGACAGGACGCCCAAGAAAAGACGGAAACTACGCATGTACATATATATCGTACACTCAAACTAGGTACGTACATGTATGGAGGCCAAGATAGGGATCGCTATATCGAACGAAGCATGAGGGAAAACTAGGGCAAAAAAGAAACAACCAGGCACTCACGTTCACAGTGTTGTTCCCCGGGTTCTCCATCCACGTAGGAGTCTCATCCATGTTGGCGATCTGCGCCAAGGCGAACTTGGGACTCGGCCCCGACGGAACTCCAGCGCCACTCCCACCCCCGCTGCCGCTCGCGCTGCCTCCCGCCACTGCCCCCAGGCATTCGACTCCGTCCGCAAGCTCGAGCGCGGAAGGGACGTCGTACTTCAGCCTCCTCCACTCCTTGATCGCCTGCATGGCGATCACGGGCCAGCCGGTAGGAAGTTTCTGGCCTTGACGGGTGACGGCTCGCACAGAAAAGCGGTAGACCCTGAGAAACCTTCTGCACCACGCGGTCTTCTTGCGGGTGTACCGCAGGTTGCCCTCGATGTCGGACGGCGGCGGCCTCTCCCCGAAGAAGTTCGGGTTGAGTTCCGTGGCCTTGTTCTTGATCATCCTCGTCGAGACACGGGCGGAGATGCCGTCAGAACGCAGATCATTGATCCAGTCCACGACCTCGCGTTCGGCGTCCGTGTGCGTCCTAGTCCGTCCGACGTTCAGCGACATGCGGTGCTTGGCTTTCTTCCTGCCCTTCACTCGCGAGTACTTGGTCTCCTCCGCAAGCGCGGCTTCGTACTTGTCGACGTCTTTGACCCACGCCGCCAACGTGGCCTTGTCGGGAATCTTGAGGATCCTGCTGGCGTATGTTACGCCAACAGTCCCGCCCGGTCCTTGCGCCCCCTTGAGCTTTCTCTGCGAGTACCTCACGGCATTCACCTTGAACTGCAAGGTGTAGCGCTTCCTTTGGGTTCCACCACCATGGTCGGGAATCGGGAAGTCCGGCGGCTCCAGCTCCAGCCGCCCTTTCTTCCTCTTGCCCTTGTTCTGTGCCGGCGTACTGAAGAGAACGCCGCCGAGCCCATCTCCCCACTCTGTCTCACCGGGAAACATCATGTTGCCGGATTTGCCATCGTTGGCCACCGGAGCTCCTGACGCTGGTGCTGGTGTGGGTATTGCTGCTGCCGCTGCTGGTGTTGCTGCTGCCGCTGCTCCTGCGCTTCCTGATCCTGGAGCTGGTGCCGGTGCTGGAGCTGGCGCCGATGCTGGAGCTGGCGCCGGTGCTGCTCCTGATGGCGGCGCTCCGGGCGTGGAGCCCGCCCTACAAAAGACAATAGTAGACATCATGTGCGGATGGAACGAAGCGGTCAATATTTGAANACTCCGGGCGTGGAGCCCGCCCTACCAAAGACAACAGTCGACATCATGTGCGGGATGGAACGACGTGGTCAATGTTTGAACGCACGAAAACATGTGTCGTGTGGGTAGAAACCAAAGATTCCTTTCATAAAGTGCTGGCTGACTTTTATAGTCGAAAGGGCACCGTTTCCAATTCTCCAAATACCGTTTGCGGTTGAAAGTACCGTGAGGGTGAACAAAAAATTGCAAAACAGGCACGGATGCACCATCTAGGTACCGGTAAATCAGCGGCAACAATGCTGCGATAATTACAATTGTTATAATTTTACCATTCGTGGGTGAATTAAACACATGTGCAAAGCAGAGAACAACAACTGGAAAATTCCTCAGGTATGCCAGCTGCAAACAAAGCTGCGGTACTTCCGCAACACAAAACGCCATGCAGGAACAAAAATCATATATGCCTAGGTACACACACACATACAAAAATTTGTTGACCGCGGGAACGTGTGGCGCACAAAAAGCTACGCACAAAACAACATCAAAAATGTGTACCGCGAACGTGTGGCTCAAAAACCAATGTAAAAAAATTACATGAACGCGGGAGTCTGCGGGTGGTGCAGAAGTCAACCCACAATTGCACGTTTCGAGACCACACGCGGACCGATACCACTGCTGTACGCCAAACCCACGAAGCACACACACACATTTCTCACTTGGATCGTTCTTCCGTGCCGAATGAAGTGCTTGGCTCCTGGTCCTCCGCCACGTCCTCCACCACCAGCTGAGAGGCTTGGCTGGTGGCGCGTGTTGACTCCTCTGCGGTACTCGTACGTGCAGCTGAGAGCGAGTCAGCAACTGGCTGCTGGTGAGGCGAGGCGGTGGCTGTCATGTTGGCGCCTGTTGCAGTGCCAGCTGCTGCTGCTGTCGTTAGATCAACAGCAGCAGCAGCAGCAGCAGCAGCAGCAGGAGCAGGAGCAGCAGCAGCAGCAGCAGCAGGAGGACCCGAAGCAAGAGGCGCTTGCGTAGAGGAAGGTTGCTTGGTTTCAAAGAACGAGGTGATCTGCGACGCCTGTGCTGCTGCGGTCGAAGCAGCTGCGGAGGTACTTGCGGCGGCAGTCTGCTCTTCTTCCCGCACGTTCATGTTGTTGGAGGTCTCCATGCGGGGTGTTTTCCCCGCACACGGAGGGTGTGTTTTGTGTGATGCCCAAGGGCAGATGCTGCCACCCCGGTGATAAAAAAAAAAAAAGGAGGGGCCCCGTGAATACATGCGGCGTAACCTGATTTATCACCGGGGTGTGTTATCTTGTGTATCCCGGGTGATAAATCGATGGTTTGCCAGAAACGCCCAATATTATCACCGGGGTGTCGTATTCTGTGGGGGGTGTGTTATCTTATATCAGGTGGCTTATCTTGTGTCACTTACGGTATGTCACATCCGCAGACGTAGTGAGAACTTTCTGCCCGAGTAACCAGATCTTTTGAGTGACTCGGAGACAGCGAAGAAGAACGGGCTACAATGCTGCTGTATGTACGCGCCAAAGAGGGGAGGGGGTGCCGCGATTGACTGATCTAGGGGAGACCGTACACATCGGTTGTACGACTGACTGCACTTCTACATACCACCGCAAAAAACAACAGCAGTAATTTACACGTTGCCCACCAAGGTGGCCTCCGAGTAGTTGGCGTGATTCCGGAAGACCTTGCACTTCACCAGCTCCCCCGGGATGACGTGAGGAACCATCACCACCCAGCCCGTTTCACCCTCCCTCGCGATGCCCTCTCCCAAGTTGGTCAGGCCCTCAATCCGGACTGTTAGCTCTTCCAGATACCTTGGTTGCAATGAGTCCAGGCGGTACGCAGCACCGGTTGGGCAAGCATCAGCACACGGGTACCAAGTTTACTGGCTGGTGATGGAAATGCAAGCAATAAAATGGCACGGCATGGCGATGTACCGGTACCGTACATGTACCCGTGTAGAACGAGACATGATACAGCAGGTGGACGGGTTCGACTACCAGTACGTCCGCCACACGACAACCTTTTCTTCGTTGTGGTAGCGGTGCGAGACGGAGAGGCAGAATAGCACGCGACCTGCACCACATTCTCGGCTTGCTATTCATGCACACGATCACCTGCTGGTTCCATGGATGCACCCAACGTGCGAGGATACATCAACAGCGGAGCGACAGAGGTGGCAGAACCGCAGAGAGTGAATACTTACTCGTAAGGTGTCGGCGTGAACTTGGGCGGCGCGTACAGCAGCTTATTGGCCGGTGTCTTCTCTGCCACCTTTGCGACTGCTGTGCTATCCACAGCTAGCTCCATCCTTAGTGAGCTCCTAGCTCTGCGAGGTGGATGCCGGCTGCTGGTTGACGTACGTCGACCGGCCAAAGCCGCGCAAACTGGTCGAGTTCGGACCACGAATGCTCTGGTGCAGCTGAGCAACGACATCATCGAGACAGCGGCAAGAGGGAGCAGCAGCCTTCCTGTCGTTTGACACATCTCTAAGCAGCCAGTGTGTGGTCCCCTTCGACCCTATGAGGTGTAAGACGAAAAGCAAGACGCACAATCGGTGGACGGGGGGGGCACGCCATCCGTACGACTGATGCTAGGGTATGCGCACGAACCGCTGACGGTTCGGATTGGTCATGGATCATCTAATCACGCCGCTCTTGCAGGGTGCGACAGAGGACATTGTGTTGCCGGCGCCTCCTGTGCACATCACCCTCGTAGATTCAAACACAATAATAATGGCATGGAGATGTATCTCCATTCCTGTGGTCGCTGCCACCCTGCTCGGAGCTGTGATCGCCCTTACCCTCCTCAGCAAGCCGGCTCCCCCCCGCCAGACGAAGGCAGAGAAACGGGTGGGTGTGTTTAATGTTTAAATGTTTAAATTGGAGATACCAGTAAACCCTAGGTGTCCGGTGTGACAGCTGTGATGCAATAGCGCGTATAACAACAGGCTCCTTTTGCACTTACACGACTAAAGCGGCACGATGGCGATAGGCCGCAACATGCGATGGTGTCATGGCATGATCCGAAAAAGCTTGGAAAAAGCAACAAATGGTTGTATGCGTACTACACATACAGCAGTATAGTCTACCTGTATTCTTAGTGTTGATGTCATTTTCGCGCTGCCTGGGCAAGACCGAAGCACGTGAGTTGTGTCGATGGCCATGCCACTCTTGGCACATTGTGCACACATCCTATTTGGTGTGTTGGATGCCTCGTCTCTTGCCGACTGGTACCACAGAACTCAAGGCGACAGGGGAGGAAACGAGGTCGAGCTGCCACGTCCAAGCGCACGAGATCGAAACGCAAGCAAAACGCGGAGATGTTGATAAACGAGATCGGCATCGATGAGTTCAAGAAGATGGTCCTCAAGGGCAAGCTAGAGAAAGAAGGTACGCCTCACGATCACGCAGAATACGTCGCAAGTCTTGTTCAAAGCCGCTGGCCGAGGACACCCATCATTGTGTGAGGCGTCAAGCTTGGTGCTAAAAAGATTGGGCACAGAGTTTGACTTTTAGACCATGGTCACACCTTTCTTACAGAAACTCCCGCAAACCGACCGCACATCTTTTCATCAAGGGTTGAAGGTAATATCGGTGGCTGGGTGCAGTATGACACCACAAAAGAATTGCAGCTTGAGGCTGCACAATCGGCCGCTGCGCGCCGTGTAACATTATATATGTTGCAGCTTGGGGCAGCACACCGGGTGCCTCTACCCCGGCCGAGGCCGAAATCGACCTAGTGAGTCCCTTCCGGGCGAACCAGGCCACAAAAAATAGTAGCCGGGTGGTATTGCAAGGTGCAACTCACCGCCGCGCTGGCTCAGCGTGACGGTGAGGATGCACAGACGGTGGTAGTGGCGAGACCCTGTTTCCGCAGCAGTAATGCAAAGCGGCAAACTGCACCTGGCACCCACCGTCGCGGAAAGCGTGGCCCACGAAGCTGGAGGAGTAGAGAGATTCGTAAACACCACGTTAGTAAGCACCGCTCGCGGGAGAAGGGAGACAACCGCGGGCACCGCGGGGAGGGAGTGCTGCACCCTCCTCGTCAAAACACCACAGGCAAGAACCAAGCTCTGCAGAGGTGGATTGATGCGAGGAAACTCGCCGCTCGGAAAATACGGAAGAACGCACACCCGCAACGCGAGGCGGACCGAAAGAGACACGAGACCGCAGCGGCCGTCAGGCGGCTGCGAAGAACATTGTTGTTTTGTTTTATTTTGGTCGGTTTCCGAGGACTCGTTTCTCGACCGGTCGGTGCGGTAGCTGTTCTTTTCTTTCCATCATTTTGTTTTCTTTTTCCGAGTGGTTTGTACTTTATTTTTGTTTTGTTTCCCCGCGGCGTCGTATGTGCCGGGTTTTTGCGACCACGGGCTCCCCATTTTTGTGGACTATAGAGCTAATGTGAGAAACAACAACAACAAGAAACAAAACTACCGGGTGTCAGGTCTTACTTTTCCGAATGTACGTGTTGCCTTTGGTTTTCCGCCTGTTTCGTCCCACCTGAGCACCACCCCCTACAACACCGCAATGGAATCACCCCAGACACGCGTCTAAACCCTCATCATTGAACTGTCATCGCCATTTGCCAGTTGCCATCTGTACTCACTCACGTCTGTTCGATTCGATCCGCTTGTTTCTTGTCAGAACAACAGGAGCGAATGAGGCGGGCGATGGATGACCCCGATTCCTTGCGGCTGGTAATAGACCTCAATTGGGCGGAGAGCGCCCCCGGTAAAGAGCTGTCTAGCCTCGTGAAGCAGCTCTGTTACGTCTACAGCCGCGCCAAAGCCAGCTCGATGCCTCCCAGGCTCACTCTCACCTCCTACCAAGGCAAAGTGGCCGCAGCTCTGGAAAGGTGAGGCAAGGTGTGCTGTCTCTTATGCGTCCATTTCAGCACTGCCTGCTCATGTCCAGTGCACCCACGTAGTATGCAGGTTCGACGCGACGCGCTCGATTTATTTCATAGCTTTGTGTTTGTCCACCTGGCTAGAACCCCCAAGTCGTCTCCCCTTTCAATCTGGTGGTCCTACAAGAACAGCTCATTGATGTTTGTGTACCGCTTCATACGTCCCGCCACGTACTCGTCGTGTCTACCTGCCCATTCCTGCTCCCAGCGCCGGGGCCGACAGCTGGCTGGTCGACCGCAATCCTCTAGGCGTCTTCACGGTGTTCGATCCGACCGAAATCATCTACCTCAGCCCCGACGCAGAGGAGCCCTTGGACCAAGTCCTCGATACCAACGTCTACGTCGTTGGGGGTATCGTGGATCGGAATCTCAGGAAGGGGCTCACCCTCGGGGCCGCGGACGGCGCAAGGGCGCGGGCGGCGCGGCTGCCGTTCGACGAGTACTTGCCCGAGATTCCTCGCGGCGATCGAGTCTTGACGGTCTGTGCCTGCGTGGGGGTGTTGATGGGCGTCCGTGCGGGAGAGGGGTGGCGAGACGCGCTGCAGAAGAGCGTGCCGCGGAGGGGGGTAGAGAAAGCCGCACGCCGGGCGCGGGGGAGGGCGTGGCGAGGGACCGTGGCAGAGGCCGTGGGTGCGGGACAGTCTGGATGGGGGGTGGTGGGGAACTTTAGTGCGGGTCTTGAGAGCAAAGCTGAAGGAGGTGTTGACGTCGCCGAGGTGAAAGCTGGCGCCGGGTCGAGTAGTGTGAAGAGGAGTGAGGGTCAAATCCCACCACATGCCGCATAGTTGACGATGAGGAGTTTGGATGAAAACCCATCACATAACACGTGCCGTAGGGAGCACCGAAATCAATAGAGAAGTAATGAGGAACCCTTCGCCTTCGCCGCATGGTATTCGACTCTAAACCACGTCAGGATGCCCCACAGCGTGCTGCGTGCCGAGTTTGGTAAGCGACCTGCTGTAGGTAGACCTCGGTGCTCCTGAAGATCCACAAACGTTTTTCCGATACAAGGGTGATACGGGTGCGAACGCGTCAAAGATGCACGGGAAAAGTGAAGCACGTGCAGTGGAGCGTAGGAGCGCGTCTGATCGCGTGTGCATGCGAGACTACCTCCCTAGCTGCCCAAATGGATTCCGTCCTTGTTGATGATGGCGGCGCTTGCTCGATAAGGCCCGTGCCTCAGCACGCCCGTTGGAAAAGCCGTGGTGCAACACGGCCCTCGCTAGAGTGAGGATAGGAGATTGCCTTCAGGGCTCCCGACAAGTAAATGGGCATTGAAGGTATTTTTCACCACGCCTCGCTTTTTTCCGGACAGGTATCAACCTTTGCAACCATCTCCTGGTGAAGGCTAGTCCCTCTTGTCCGATACGAGCACCGACTTTTGTGGGCATCTTTCTGCCGGAAGACGAGTCAATCTTTCTTACTGTCCGGTACAAGCGTCGACCGCTGTCGGTGGTTGCGTCGGTCAGATGTTTCTTGACACCTTGCACATCATGATTGCTAGCAATGTGTCGGCCTTCCATGTGTTGAATGTTACGATGCCGGCGATGATGGCAAACATGAGCGAGTTCGTTTCGTTCAGGGGTCCTGCCCATTTTTTCAAGGTTAGGTTCTGTAGGGTACGGGTAATGTCTGTGGGGTATTGGATCTGTTACAGAACCGGAGGGTAACCGGTCTGAGAGGGATGAGCTATCACACGAGCCATACAGTCCATCTTCAAGTGACCCTTCTCCCCACACTTGAAACACTTGCACTGAAAAATCTTTTTCTTAGACGAATCAGACTCGGAGTTAGACTTTGACTTCTGGTTCTGCTTCTTCGCACTCTTCCTCACAGGTCTAGACATGAGTGCAACACTGTGTTTCTTCGGACCAGGTTGAGTCAGCAAGTCGAGATACCTCTCACGCACTTTAGTCTCTATGAACGACGGGTCATTCGGACAGAACACCACCAGAGTTTCACGCAGGGTCTTATACTCATGTGACAATCCCTCGAGCATCAGGTTGCATACCTCTCTGTCATCTTTCTTAACTTTCAGCATCTGAAGCACACCAAGCGTCTCTCTCATAGATGTAAAGAAGATGGAGGGATTCTCATTCGAACGCATGCGCAATGACTTTAGTTTCTCCTCTTGCACACGAATCTGACTCTGGCTCAACGGTAGGAAGTGATCTTTGAGCACTCGGAACGCCTTGCTGGGGGAACCAGCGTGCCTAGCCATAGTTTTCAGACTTTCCTTCTTCAAGCAATCAAACAGAAACCACCATCCCATTTCAGCCTGACGCAG